GTGAAATATGTTCTTAAGTGATGAATTTTTCATTCGTTGTCAGATCGAGAGGCGGAGCTTAATTGCAAGATCCATATTTGTCTATAAGAATTTACCATTTTATACATGTTTTAAGGTTCTTGTGCTAAAAAGACGACTACGTATATGAAGAAAAAAGGCAAAATTTAAGCCCCGCCCACCCGCCCTATCTCAGAGTTCAGTATCGTTGGCTTTTTTACTTTTTTCATAATATTTAGCTATTCATTACTAAACTGTGAAAAGCTCTGGCTTTTCGTACTTTTCCTGAATAAATAATGAATTTTGCGTTCTTCAAGAATTATTGAACTGAACTAAAATTGAAGCTTGAAATGAAGGAAATGGAAACAAAAATAAATTCAAATAAAATCGACACAGCTGCTTTAGAAAATAATTTAAAAATTGCACAAGATCAGTATAAAGATCAAGTGAATATTAAGTGTGTGCTAAAGACAATAAATTATTGGTTGTGCTTTGAAAGCAAAATACCTAACTAGTGCGATTTCACAGAGCGCAAGCGAATACCGTCTAAAAGAGGAACGTCTTAAAAATGTATGTTGTAAAATAGAAAAGTTCGTCCAAAAACGAAATAGTGATTTGATTAGTCTTAAGCAAAAGAAGAAAACTTGATTAAAATTAATATTTACAATAATTTATAACATGTTCTTAATGAATGTTTATTTTGATATATTTTTATACATTTTTACTTACCCGAGCGTAAGCTAATCGAATCCATTGGATGAATGGACTGTATTTCAAGGGCGAGGGAAGTTCTATCGAAGGAACCTTGGACCACTTTTTAATAATTAAAATAGCACGAAAAGTCGTAGCCTTTCTTTACCTTTTAGCGTAAATAAATAGCTATTTTAGCTACTTTTGACATTCACAACTGCTCTGAACCCTGCTATCTCAATTTTGATGATTTTTTTTATCGTCGAGAGCCAAAAGAGCGGAATTTAATTGCAAAATCCTTATTATTTTTGTATAAGAAATTACCATGTAAGACATGTTTTTAAGTATCGTGTTATTCAAAGAATACTACATATAATAATAATAATAACTTTATTGAGTACCATAAAAAAAATACAAGTAAACAAAAATAACTGAATAGTGCATACTACTCAAAAGGGAAAAAAACAGATTCAGTATTACTGATTTACAATCTATCCCTATGTTGAAATGAAATGAGATATGAAATACAAGTTGTAAAATATGAAAGACGAACATAATTTTTATAGATAGTATTATAGATACAGAACTTAAAAAAGATTTAAATTTAATTTTAATTTTATTTCTGCTTGCTCAGCCAATAAGAGATCCTTTACAGATTTGATGATGTAATGGTTATTTAAGTTGGAATGTATATTAAGAAACAATTAAAGCCAAAGATTAAGCCCCACCCATACCTACCCTGAACTAAATAGTAATGAAATTTTCATTCGTTGGCTGACCTTGGGGCGGAGCCTAATTGCAAATCCATATTTCCTTACAAAAATTTACCATTGTATCATTGTAAACGCGTTTCAAGTTTCTAAGAATAAAAAAATCATCGCAATTAAGATGGGGTTGGTAGGCGGGGTTAATATTTTGTCTTTTTTTCTTAATATACGTAGTATTCTTTTAACAATACGATACTCACAAACATGTTTTTAATTGGGTCGTAATTAAGTGTGCATTATTTTTAATACTTTGTGCATTAAATTTTATACTATGTGCAATAACATTTGTGCATTAAATTTACTATGTTGCGCCAGAAGTTTTTGCATTTTGTGCATTATATTAAGTGCAAATTGGAATAATAAAATTATTCTTTTGGGCAATGATTTTCTGTACTGCGTGCATTATTGAAACTGTATAGAAAATAACAAACAAAAATAGACCTGCTGTATTAAAATGTATTTTATGAATGCATACAAAATTAACAAAAACAAAACATATTCATAGCAATAAAGTAGCCAAACAAATTAAAAGTTTTGAAAAAATTAACAAAGAAACTTAAAATAAACATTCTTTCATCAAAAAACTCAATTACTAAACATTATTAATTTATTGAATAATAATAATTAATGCTTTTTTGGCTTTAGAAGGGCGGATTCCTTCCCTGCCGAACTGGCGCGAAATGAAGCAGATGACACGTCTTTTAAAAAGTGGGAGTGTAATGCCCACTTTACTGTGAACTAATGCACATTTTAGTAATTTACGGAACATTTGAAATGCTTGTTTATTTTCTCTCAAATACAAATTGAATTATTAAAGAATCAGTTATTTTAACGAATGAGCAAATTTAATTAAATAATTCTAAATTGCATTATTTATTGCGCATATAGAAAAAATAATCTGCCATTATTTTATTTATTGCCCTTTCAGTTTTACAAATGCTGAAATAGTTTCTTCTGTGCGGAAATGTTTTTAATAATGCTCTGACTTATTTCACATTTCATTAAAACTAGTGCGCATTTAAATTGTTCTCTTTTTAATTTCTTTTAAAGAAATAAGTATTTTGCAGTTAAGCTCTGCCCCTTGGTTCAAGGCGAATAGAAAAAAATCATCACAATTAAGTTAGGGTAGGTGGGCGGGCTTACATTTTGCCTTTTTGTTTTAATGTATGTAGACTTCTTTTCACAACATGAAACTTAAAACATGTTTAAAATGGAAAACTTGTATAAGGAAATATCGTTTTTGCTATTAAACTCCGCCTCATAATTGTAAAATCCATATTTCCTTGCAAAAATTTACCATTTTAACCATGTTCTAAGTTTCTTGTTGTGAAAAGATGACGATGTATATTAAGAAAAAAGAGCCAAAATATAGCACTTGCCAAGATGAGACTGATTTTGCCAAATGGCATTCCTTCTAAGAAAATTAAAGGACGGGTGGGCGGGGCTAATACTTGCTAAGATAAGACTAATTTTGCTAAAAATTTGTCGTTGTTGAATTACAATTTAAAAACCTTGCTGATGTTTTGATGTATAACTTTTCACAACAGGATAGAATGTAGAATTAATTCGAAAATTTAGAAAAATATCGGATAAGAGAGACATCGGTCTGTAATTTTCAACTTTAGATGCATCACGGGACTTCAAGACAGGACAGATCTTAGATTCTTTCTATTTTGTAGAAAAAAAGACGGAAAAAAGGCGACAAAAAAATGACAACAACTCTAAAAATAAGGCGATACAAAAAAAGGTCAAAGAGACAGCAAAAATTAAAGACGACACAAAACAGCGGCACAAATAAAAAGAAAAAAATATTTATTTAATTTTCAGTTAAAAAAAAAAATAGGAGGACGTGGAAGATCTGATTTTTTATACCAGGAACTGAAAATAGTTCTCTTTTTCGTAGTGCTTTCCGTAACTTTTAATTAATAAATAATCTACCTAAAGAGTTGCTGATATTTTAAGATATCTCAAATGAAAACGTTTATTTAACATTATCTTTTGAAATTGAAATACTAAATAGCATAATGAAAGTTAGTTAACAATAAATACAAAATGAAGCACAAACGAAAATTTTCCTTTTTAAGAAAATAAACTCTAAAACTACCACTAACTTTAAGAAAAATTTTCACCAAATTTAACAGTACGAAAAAAAAAACGAAATACGTTTTTGCAATTAGAATCATTTTGGCAAATTTCTTGTTGCTCAGTGTTATTGGAAGGCAGTTTTACAGAATTTACTCAAAAAAAAAAAAATCAGAAGCAATAGTTCCATGTAGAAAAACAAAAGTTGTCTTCGTTTCCTATAAAAATTTAGGGGCCAGTTAATGGAATATTTTTGAGATTAATAAGTTAATCACGTATTTAACGAGGCGTTTAGCGACGACTGATGTATGATTGATATTTAATTGAGCTTCTAAACTGAATCTAAAATTCGTTCCGCTTTGACTCGGCAGCGGACAAAACCCGTATTTTATATGGGAGAATTCGTGGCGGTGTTGTCAATTATCCAAAAACCTACCGATTTCTGAGGAAGTTGATTAATGAATGTTACACAAATTATCGTAAATTTGTGGTTATTCTGCTTTTATTCGTGTTAAAATTGTGAAAAGTGAAATGACGAAAACCTTAGGATAATTTGTGTTAAGATTTATGTATCAACTTCTTCAGAAATCTGTAGGTTTTTGGATAATTGACAACATCGCCGCGAATATTCCCATTTAAAATGCATTGCTTACGAGATTTGTACGCTGCCAAGTCAAACCAGAACCCACAATAATGTTATTATTTTATGATGCTTCATACATAATATATTTCATTTTGTAGATTTGTTTGTCAAATTTGTTTTATACATGTAGAGGTTGTAATAAAACGGTCTGGACAAAAGATTTCTCGCAGGGTGTAGCATAGGAAAATAACGGTCTCCTTTCCGTCCGTCTGTTGGCGATTTTATTAAAAAAATATTCTTTGAAACTGCTGAACCGAATTCATGTAAAAATTTTAGTTGTCTATAGATAAATTTCAGGTATTTAAAAAATGAACTAACGAAAGACACAAAAGTTGTGTTATGTGTGCGTAACAATTCTAAGAACAAAAATTTTGAGAAACTAATTGAGCGTGTTAAAGAAGCTTCTCGCTTGACAGTAACCCAAAATACACCATATCAGTTAAAACGGTGACATACTGTGGTAATCAGTGATTGTACCTAGAAATACTTACGTCGCAGAAGCAATTAAATTTTATTAACTTCATAGATTTTTTTCTAATAAATCATACATAAATGCAACATGAGTAAAGAGTAAGTTTACTTTTGTTAGAGAAAAATGTATCACTATTCGCCGATTCTCTCGTCAGTTATAATGGAATTAATTCCATATTTTGTATGCCGGATAATCCGATAAAACGAGAAGAAAGAAATCATAATGGTTACATAAAACCAAATCTGAAAGAAATAACCCGATTTGCGAATAAACAAGTTTAATGTAACTTCGCCCACTCATTTATCGACCTGTTATTGCCAAGCTCTTAATACCGTATTGTTTGTTACAGCAATGGCCCTATTCGATCACGTGAACTTAGTATATGGTACAGTTAGTGAATTCTGCACTCAAACTGGTTGTCCAGACATGACCGGCCCCGGTCAAAGGTAAATCACTCACGAAAACATCGCCAGAAACTAACGGCTGAAATTTCAGGACTTACCTGTGGTTTGACGAAAAAGGGAAGAAAACAAAAGTAGCCGCTCCACAATACATAGATTACGTAATGACATTTATTCAGAAAACAATAACCGACGAAAATATTTTTCCTACGAAATATGGTATTGTTATTGCAGGTTTGGTTACTTAGTGTGAAAGTGTTTATGTTTTTCTTTTTCAGCAAATGAATTTCCCTCATCGTTCGAGTCAATAGTACGAAAAATAGTCCGTTTGTTATTCCACGTGGTGGCCCACTTATACTCGGCACATTTCAAAGAAGTTGTGATGTTAGGTTTACACGCGCATCTGAACCTGACGTTCGCACATCTGACGGCGCTCCAGCACCGTTTCTCCTTAATCGAACCCAAAGAGACGGAAGTACTGAAAGACCTGGAGATCGCCCTCAGATTGACGGAAGACAGTAGTCAGGAATCGGCGAATAATAACGACAGGGGAGGCGAGACGTCGACGGATAGCGAAACAAAGACACATTTAGAAGATACAGCAAGTAAGTACTTGTGGAATTGTGACTTTCTTGTAAGGAGACGCAAAGTGGCTGTTAAAGTACATTTTTGGGTTTTTTATGTGGGGACTCGTCAGCGAAGAAATTTTATTTACTTCCTAATTAAATCAACAATCCGTGAACTCGAATATTGTTTCTCCTGATTGCTTTTTTTTTAAGATCCTGATATTATATTTAAGCACACAGTACACAACACTGTAACTTGACAATTTCATCGACACAAAAGAATTAGATAAATCCAGGACAGTTATTACCTTTAATAGTTCTTATTTGGGCGTTTTCTAGTAGGTTTTTTTAATTAGTTCTATTCATAATATTTAATATTCGAAAATGGTACCTAGCATTGTCCATAACTATAAAGGAATTGCTCTCTAGATTTTGCAGCAACCAATTTCAAAAATAAGTCCAATTTGAATTAATGTAAAGTAAACAGTACTTAAATTACATCTAATATCATTCCCTCTATCCGTTGTTAAAGCAACAGTGTAACATTTCGTTTTTATTGCTTCACAACATTTGTACGTATCTTGTTTGAAATACGGAAGGACAAACAGCCACTTTGTACTTGATTTCATAATCAATTCAAGTTCATAAATTTTAATCAAGGACTTCTCTTTCAATTCACATGACGTAACTAAATATAAGAACAAACTTATATCGATTTATGAACTTAAATTGTGAGGGTAGTCTTAACCTTATAACCAAAGGTCTCAGATCGAAATGTCATTTTCAGGTGGGGACAATAAATCGTAGTTTGCCGTGGTGGTAACTCGAGCTTTCGAATATGATGATTGTGATGTGAAACGATGCCCCAAAAACATACTTTGAACCACTTAGCTCATGTGATTATGACACAATAGTGACTTCATTTTAATTATTTTTTCGTTTTTAGTGCGCATTTTATTTATTGTTTTATCTCCTTATTTATAATTACAAATTGATGAAGGTATATGAGTGCATGTTCGTGCATCTTGTATACACATATAAGTACGCTTGTGTTTTTCGTTTAGAGTGAAAAAAGTTGAGACGTTCAGTAGAGATTCTATTCGTAAATCGTAACAATAATTTCATCTTGTAGAGAGAAATGAAAAAACAATAATTAAAATTAATGAAAATAGGCTGTACTTAAACAGAAGCACTGACCTTTTTCCTATCGAGGTTCTTTCGTTTTTTTCTGTTTTGCTTTCACTTACGGCTAAGATCCCACGATGAATTTTAAGATAAATGTTCATTGATAAAATTATCGAGTTTTATATTGTAACTCGACCATATTATGCACAGTCTTTAAATTTTTTTACCTCCTTTTTTCCTTCTTCATTATGTGATCTATAAAGAGGCATTTCAATTTATTTTCTGTACAGTGTTAAAATTGTTCCTGAAGCTGATTGTATATAATATATAAAATGAATTTTAGTTTGTTATTTATTAGATTCTGTAATGGCTATAGAAAATAGCATTTGTTGAAAATGATAAATAATAAATCACCTAATGTTACATACGACAGAGTTTTATTTTTATGAGCGGTTGTGATTGACAGACAGATATTAAACTAACATTCGCACGAATTATTTGCAGTTGTTTTAACCATCGTCGTGCAAATAGACGTCCGAATGGAAGTATTTACAAAACAAATTTGCGATTTACGGTGAAATAACATAATTAAATTGTTAGCTTTGTTGATTTGAGTACAAATAAAATAAACGTTATTATTCCATTTCACTGCAGGCAGTAAGCGAAAACCGCTTTGTAAATTTATTAGCGGTCTGTCATTGTTTACCATATCTTTTGTACTTCATCGTCAACAAATCGCAATAAACGTTTCCAAATAGAAATGATAAAAGTTTTTTAAGTTGAAGGAAATCGAAGCGGATTCATTGTAATAAGCGCAGCTGGGAAGATATTGGACGCAGCATCAGTTTGTAAGTCGAATTTATCTGGAACGTCTTTTACAGCTTGCGTAAATATTGTGGGATGACTATGTAGATTTCGACCCAAAAAAAAATTAATATTTAGTGAAGCGATGAAAAATGGTTATTTAGGTGTTTTCGCGGTGTTGACTTTACGAAGAAAGAAGCCGTTCCGTGTAATCTGAGGCTAGTTATCGCTTCAAGTACATTAGGTAAGTTGGTAACGATTCTTAAAACTAGCGATGAGTTTATTTGCGTAATAAAGATACATAGCAATAATGTTTTTACTTGCTCATCAATTCGTAAAACGAGTATTATAAACTCATTTTAACGAATGTGGAAGAACACGAAAATGTAAGTTTTTTATTCCAAGATGTTAGTTGTTTTTTCACAGTATGTATTTGTACATTATTTAAGCAAAATGACAGTTTAGTTGCAAAACGACTTCAAACCTAAATTTCGTTTCTTGTCCGCGAAGAAGCACAGCATTGTAATTCAGTCTTAGCTTTCACAGGTACTTGACAGTATCAATCATAATCTAATTTCTAGATGTAATTTGTGGATTTTCAATAAAAAAATTCGGCATTTTAAAATGTATTTCGAGAATCTGATAGTAGATCAGAACTGTAGAAAATAAAGATAGGTGTTGCACTCGGAATTAGCAAAATATCACTTTGCAAAGAAACTTAAAATCTTTGCTTATTGTGTTAATTAGAAAGACTTGTGTTGGTGAGACAGCACCTATGCTACAGAGCATCTGGAATATGAACTCTTTCCATCTGATCTGTGTAGAAGATGCATCAAAAATGTGTACAACAGAAAAATGAATTTAAAAAATTTATCAGTGATTTCTTATACTTATTTATGATCGTAATTCCAATTACACTTTAGATAAATTGGTAAAACCTTACGTTAAAGAATACTGTGGATGGAAGGAAGTATTGTAATCGAATCCGTTGGCTGACTCTCTGCTTTTATGTTTTCTCGACCTTTCATGACCCATAGAGCACGAAGACATAGACTTTCCGTCTGTCTGTCTGTCAGTCGTCTATCAGGATTTTTATTAGACAGATAATCTCCGAAACTACTGGACCGATTCTTGTCTGTATATTAGGAATATCATGTAGATGGTTCTGGATTCTTAATTTATGGGGGCTGACCGTAGCCAGCCGGCACTTAGGCCTCGCCTTTGGGCCCATTGTACCTTCCCCAAGTCCATATCAGGGTGTTTTCCCGCTCCTCTACTCGTCAAGCCACCCAACTGCTTGAATGTACTTGAGTAATGCAGAGGGTGGAAACTCCCTGATATTTGCCATACTAGGCCAGATGTCCCCTAGTATGGATTCCAACATGTAGATGGTTAAATGCTAACTAAAATTTGGCTACTCATACCCACCACCAATGGGATGACGCCAACTCCAAAATTTATAATAGTAAGTTTTTTTAAATTTCATAAAATAAGATACTCTTGCAATTGTGATGTGTGAATCCGTGTCGAATTTTCACCCTAGACATCCAGATTTTTGGAAAAAAATTCAAAACTGCATAACAATATTTTGCAATTTAACTTTGAAACTGCAAAAGCGAATGCTCTGAAATCTCGAAAATATGTTAAGGTTGTCATAGTAAAAGCAAAATTTTGCCGTATAAATCTTCTCTGAAATATGCAAAATATTCTGATTGCATACTTGTGGTTTATCAACGCACTCATAGTTTTTAGAATTACTTATACAGTGTGACTCAAAGTTATTGAAAGAGTCAATTTATTTTATTGATTAAATCGGGAACTGCACAACCAAATGCTTTGAAATCTTGTAAACCTTTTAAGCGTATCGTAAGCATGATAAATTTTAATCAAAATATAACCGTTTATCCCCCTCAAAAAATTTATGACGTTATCACAAAATTTTGTAAGGGAAAAACTCGTTTGAAATGTAGGCGCAGCACACGTCTTTACATTTATTTTAACGGTACATAATTATCTCTATTTCCACTTATAAGGGTTCTCATAAAAAAAGTAAAATTCTCGTACCTTACTAAATTTTATAATTTTTCTAAAAAACTGGGTTTGTTTTACTGTATTTCAGGGTCGGGAGAAGTTCTATCGAAACAACCTTCGACCATTTTTTTTTACTTTGTGAGCGTAAGCAAAGGAAGTATTGTAGTCGAGTTCATCAGAGGGTGACCGACTACTTTTATGTTATCTCGACGTTTCATGACTCAGAGTACGAAAAATTAGGTCTCCTGTTTCAGTTCGTCTGCCGTTGTGCAAATTGTTATTAGGTAGAATCTCCAAAACTACCCGACCGAGTGTTGTCAAATTTTATACGTGTATTTTGAATATAATGTAAATGGGAAATCTCCCAATTAATTGTGATGACATCTTCTCGAAAGTTTCATAGTAGTGAAGGTAAGCAGAGAAAAATGTTGTGCCTCGGTGGGATTCGAACCCCACGCCTCTCGCTCTCCGGGCAAGCATCCTAACCGCTAGACCACGAGGCCACTTATCCTTCTCTGCTTACCGACGTGTTATTGTGCCGTCACAGTAGGAAGGATTTAAATTATGTAAAATAACATGCCTCTGTACTTGTTTATTGATCAAATCTCTAGAACGGTACACCTCAGTCTTTTATTTTTAGTATTACACTAAATGTGTCTGAATTGACATACGTGTCCTTGCTGTAATGTTTTCCGGAAATCGTGATACAAACATTTCCCAGCGTATCTACGCGCAGGAAAATTGAATTTTCGTGACTAGTACTGTAAAGATTTTACAAGACGCAAAATAAGAAACTTTGAAAAAGAACAGTTTATTCAAAACTAATTAGAAATATTAATATGAATTGTGGAACTTGTTTTTTGGTGCAGCATTTCCACATTGTCCCATACCCAGGAAGAGCACAATTCAAAAATTTTATAGCAGATAGATTGTCTCGATTGTGCACATCAAAAACGCAGTTTCAGTGAAATTATTTTTTACTTTTTTCATTTATATTAAATTTTTCATTCTGTTTATTTTCTAAAAACTGCAATGAAAGTGTTTAACGATTAAATTAAAATTTTGCTGTCAAAAATAATAAATCAAAGTCTTCGACAATGTACTTAAACTTTTTAACCAGAACAATATTTAAAGCTCAAGTTAACAATTTGCTGCAAAAAATGATAGGTAGTGGGAATTAAAATAGGGCCTTAAGGCTATTTCCACCGCAGAAATCATCTCTAGGTTTTCATCCTAACAAAAAATAATATGGAATCCCTATGGCGAAACAGTAGCAATATTAGTATCAGAAAGTAGGGTGTAATTATTCTTAAAATAGTTGAATATCTGAATTGTTGATAAAATTTCATGTCTTATTTATTATTGAATTAAATATTAAGGCTATAGTTGCAAAAGCAGTGCAGCTTAAAAAATCAGATGACATTGCGCATCAAATTCGCTGATATTGTTGTAATCAATTCGCTTTTTTAACTATATATCCACACCAAATTTAAAAAAAAAGTACTTTTTAAATAACAAAGTTAGAAAGTTACTCGACCATTCCCAGACTTTATAATGTACTAACCACTCTAAAGACAATAATTAAATAATCCATAATTATTCTCCAGATCTTTGTTCCTATTAGATAATTATTTATTACACAGATATGGGTAGAGACAAATGATCGTAGATAACTCTAGTCATAACTGTCTAGTAAGAAGAATGTTGGAAATAATATGGGGCTACAATTATCTTTATTACAGATTTATTTGACTTATAGTAAAAGTATAATTATAGACCTCAGTATTCACATTTCGCTTTCTTATTACAATCAGAATTAGCGTTATCGTCGCTTGTATTTTTCTTATAAGTACACAATCTAATAGCTTTAAGTAGCACAGCTACTTCTCTGCAGAAATAACCAATCGCTTCGGCAATAGGATCACACAAGTCCCTCATCGACGTCGCAATATTGTACAAGAATATAAGCAGTGGCTGAATCAGACCATTGAAGAAAGTTGTGAGGAATGGTTTAAAAAAATAATCCGACGACATCTGCATCACACCCACAAAAAGTGGCCGCATCACACTATACAATAAAAATTTAAGCAACTGCAGCAAAAAAGAAACACAGAAGGCCACCCCTACATGAATTGACGCAAAAAACTCAGCCCAGAATCTAGTAGTATACCTTTCGGTTTTTTCGGCTAGAATTTCGGTTTTCAGAACGGGGGGAGTGTCTGTCGTGTGAAAATACCTAAAACGAAAATAAGAATGTATAAATTTCGAACAACAAACTCACTGAGCGTTCCCATGATCGAAGTAGTAAAAGTCGACTCTTGCGTTACCCTCACTGTCGTAGCAAACGTTCTTCTGGAGTTTGCTATTCCCTTTATTTGCTTCGTTCTTGTTGTTTTTCTCGTCCTTAAATGTACATCGAGAGTGTAAAGCACTCGGTGAAGGATCGCGACTGGTTTTACGTTTTTCGACGGGCGGTCGTATGGTGTTGGTTGCAACTGTGCTAGAAGTAGGTCTCGGGATGCCTTCTACCAAGTCGAAGATGACTCGCTGGACAACGTTAGTGAGAGTGTTTATTTCGGAGTTATAGAGTTTTACCTTGGGGTGAGTGCCGTCTTCACATTGTCCGCAGAAATTAACCCTGTAGAGTTCACAAGGTGTGGAGTACGATTTTTTAAGTTTCAAATCGGAGGATTTTTCCTTGACCCACTCGAAGAAGCTGCGTTTTTTGTAATCGACGGGTGCGAATCTTGTGCTTTTGCACGTAGAACGGGTCCCTTCAAGTTTAAAACAACATTACTCATAGAAATCTTTAAGTGGGGTAACTGAAGTACCCAATTAAAAAAGGAACAAAGTTTTTAAGCTAATATAACAACATTTCGCACATCTTCAGATGAAAATTCATATTAATATACAGGGTGTCCCAGAATTCGCGCCATTCCCGTGAATGACATGTTCCCTGTCCCGAACTGTGCTGTAATTCGCAAAAAGAATTGTCCAGGCTTTAACCGTGTGAGAACTGGAAGGCGATTAAGTTGACCAATAGAGAAGCTGCTTTTATATCCGAACGTTTCTATGTTCAAAGTTACCTATGCCAAGAACAAAAAATCCGGCAATACTAAAGTTGAATGAATTTTTTCCGAATCCCCCTCCGTCAACAAAAGGAAACAGAAGTGTGGTTATAAATTTAATCATTTTGACAATTGTTTGTCATAAACTGTCACGAAGTTCATCACTGACCTGAACAGACGCTTCTGCGCCAAAGATGACTGATTAATGTACACAGAGACGTCAAGGTTTACTTTAAGGCAAGTAGCATGGGACAGAAGTTATTTCTGCTGCCATTCTAGTTAAATTGTGTTTAACTAGGCTGTACATGCCATAAAAGAAGCTGTTTCATTTCATCGTAGGCAAATAATACATTTATTACTATTCTACATAGTGTAGATATCGAAGAGCAGGTATTAGAAGTCATTTTCTTAGAGCCCCGTGAATAATGTGTTGTTCTTTTTAACGAAAAGTAGTGCATTTTCAGAATTCACTATGCATCATATCCCTGATATTAAGTTTATTGTTATTTCTAAAAAAAGAGTACCACATGTCCATTCAAAGAACGTTATTAAGTGTACTAAAACATAAATATCGCTTTTGATTAATCGGTGCTTATGATTTTCAATAAACAGTATCAATTTTTACCGAACAGCTTTGTTGCTGATACCTAATCCAAGCAACGAAAAAAGAGACGAGACTCCACTTCTCTGGTGTATTGAAATCATAGGCATCTGCTGTGGTGTCAATCATGTGGGGGAGATACTGAAAACGGAGACTTATTCAAGAATAATATTGATGGAAGCGGATCCTAGGAGAAGTGTCCGCTGCGTAGAGCAAATGAGTGGATGCTCAAGATCGACTACTCATCGTATCCTTCAAGAGAGAAGACTGCATCCTTACCATTACACGAGAGTGCAGCATCTGGGACCAACCGACTACCCGATTCCAGCCCATAGATTAATAGTATTGCTCTTGATATGCTCTCACGTTAGCGAAATGTGGATAATAATAATAATCCGTGTAGCCCCAGAAAGGCCTTTTCGAATAGGCTAAAAAGATCCATCTTCTTTTGCTGGATGCAACAAACGACGAAACACATGCTAGTCAAGGAGCCGATGGTTGGGGAAAAGACCTGTATATTCGCGCACAGCAGTGGCTGCAGAGCGTTTACATTCTCCATAAATTAACATCATTTCCAAATATTCTTTATAGGTACTAGTATGACTAAGACATCAATATCTTAGTGGTATTGGTACTGATTTGTTTATAGTTTGTATTGTTCTTAAAAAAAAAAAATGCAACTAAACGATTTTTGTCACATTTTTTATTCGTATCTTTTCAATCTCTAGAAAGTACTCACAACTTTAAAGAAACTGTTTTAAATCATCATGTGCAACATCAATATTATTCTTGAATAAGTCTCCGTTTTCAGTATCTCCCCCACATGATTGACACCACAGCAGATGCCTATGATTTCAATACACCAGAGAAGTGGAGTCTCGTCTCTTTTTTCGTTGCTTGGATTAGGTATCAGCAACAAAGCTGTTCGGTAAAAATTGATACTGTTTATTGAAAATCATAAGCACCGATTAATCAAAAGCGATATTTATGTTTTAGTACACTTAATAACGTTCTTTGAATGGACATGTGGTACTCTTTTTTTAGAAATAACAATAAACTTAATATCAGGGATATGATGCATAGTGAATTCTGAAAATGCACTACTTTTCGTTAAAAAGAACAACACATTATTCACGGGGCTCTAAGAAAATGACTTCTAATACCTGCTCTTCGATATCTACACTATGTAGAATAGTAATAAATGTATTATTTGCCTACGATGAAATGAAACAGCTTCTTTTATGGCATGTACAGCCTAGTTAAACACAATTTAACTAGAATGGCAGCAGAAATAACTTCTGTCCCATGCTACTTGCCTTAAAATAAACCTTGACGTCTCAGTGTACATTAATCAGTCATCTTTGGCGCAGAAGCGTCTGTTCAGGTCAATGATGAACTTCGTGACAGTTTATGACAAACAATTGTCAAAAAGATTAAATTTATAACCACACTTCTGTTTCCTTTTGTTGACGGAGGGGGATTCGGAAAAAATTCATTCAACTTTAGTATTACCGGATTTTTTGTCCTTGGCATAGGTAACTTTGAACCCAGAAACGTTCGGATATAAAAGCAGCCTCTCTATTGGTCAACTTAATCGCCTTCCAGTTCTCACACGGTTAAAGCCTGGACAATTCTTTTTGCGAATTACGGCACAGTTCGGGACAGGGAACATGTCATTCACGGGAATGGCGCGAATTCTGGGACACCCTGTATAGGTACCTATTTCAGTTAAAAATCCGCGGCTTTATATCTTGAGAATGGACAGAGATATTGAAATTCTGTAAACGCCATTGTTTGTAGTTTGAAGGGAAAGCTTGGTTTAGTACACATACCTATCGGCATCGTTACGTAAACCTATACATTTTTAAATTGCATGGTATATTTTTTATCGGATTTTGATAAATCGTTGAATTGCGCTTAAGTACAGACGTCAAAGACGAATATTGTGTTAGGAAACCCGTTTTGGTGTCAACTCGCAGAACCTATTTGACCTAAACTACAAATGATACCAACTCCTTTTGAAGCAAACCTTCGTATATCCTAGGAGGAGTAACAGGCGCCTGGCTTTTATTCATCTCCAAAATCGCACACAGACACTCGGGACTAACCAGCACCCGCTCGTGGTCACAACACGAAGGTTCAAGTTCATCATAATTCAAAAAATTGTTAGTCGAAATAGTTCCAGCATCAGCCTTCACGGAATCTTTCGTTTCTGACTCGTTCGTCGGCATACTTTTTTTCTCATCCAAGAAACTTAACGAACACCTTGTGATATCTGAAGAAGCGACACTATTTATAAATTTTAAAGTGGAACGGTTTTTTCTGTCACGATTCAAAGAACTGTTTTGTGTTTTCATAGATTCTTTTGATATAATTGAGTCTTCGTTTTCTGCATCGCTACTTGTTATACACGAGGTGATGACGCTGGGGGTAGAAGGACCCATAAGATCGAGGACATTTTGAATTTCGTTTCTTATGTCTGTTGTGGATCGGCCAGTCCCGTTTTGAGAGGATGCTGTACTTTCGGTTTCTGAATCTAGGAATTATTCTTATGTGTTTTCATTTTGAGGAGTTGGGCTTACATGTGTGGACTCTTGCAGGGAGGGATTCTGAGTGGACGTTGACCCCTTTGTTAGTCGTGGGATTTTCTTCGTTACTACTTTCCACCATCTGGAAAACTTACTGTTGTAAAATAGATAATACTTCTAGAATTGTATATTCCATCATATAGGAAGATGAATAAAAGTATAAGAATAATGTTGTCAAAAATGACGTACGTATATTAACTTTTTTTATTTGTCTGATTTAAGATTGTCTCTGGATTAGAGTGAATACTTGATTACAGCGGCAAAATGTCAGACCAAATATACAGAATGATTGATAAGTAGTACTAATGAACCTGAATGAATTGGAAATGCAACTCAAAATACATTTTAAAAAATTTTGTGGATTTTGAAGTAATTAAGGAAAAATTAAGCAATTTTTTAATTAACCAGATGAGTTCCAGTTTTTGTTTCAACTTGTGGCCAAATTGTAGAAGAACCGGATTTGTTTGAAATAATCCACTGCTGAAGAGAACAAGGTTGATCTTGGAAATATTACAATAAGTGTGGGACACACATCGGATTTTTTCTTAATAATAATTGTGGTGACCGAATTTGAATCAAAATTTTCGCGCATGTTTAGTTAAAGGGCGGCTTGGTAGGAGAGGGCGGTATGTTGAAAGCGTGAGTCATTATCTTTCTGTTCGGTGTAGTGGATGCATGCTGAAAAGACGCTGTAAGTACAATCAATCGTAACCGACGTCGCCCAGTTTCCCCAATCCGCGCGGCTAATTCTTGTGGCTTTTTAATTGGAAAAAGTGCGGACTTTCGTTCAACGCGAACCACGTGGCGTAAATTTGTTTTATCGTCGTAAATTCACAGTTCAGGCTAGGAGTTAACCGTCAGCTAGTGCTAACACAATTTAACAATCAGGATTATTTAAGTAAACCACCTGCTCGAAGATTTTATAAAATTCATTTAGTCAGGATAACAATTCTTTGTTTAACAAATTACAAATAGGTTTCTGGATGCATATTGTAGTGTACCGGTTCAAATTAAATTTAAGCGCCAGAAAGAACGACATTTTTAATTGTAATGTGGATTTGCGTTTTTCATGAAGAGAGGTGGGGGAGCTTTGGCGCGTCTGGAGGGTCAGATGGTTTCAAGTAGTCGTAGCGTGCGGATGCAAATCCCCAGTGTTAAAGTCACATGTGTTTGAGATTTGTATGTTTCATTTATTTGTAAAATATGACCGAAGGGCCAATTGTCAATAGATTAGAGTGACACCATTGTTACTCCTAGGTGTAAGTATAGTTTAATCAGAGATAACAGAGATATGACAGCTTTTGAATGCTCCATAAGAAATGCATGGGAGCGAAGTGAACACAGAATTTGACGTAAAGGACGGTTGGGGGCACAACATTTGTGGTGGTAAACCTGATATCTTAATATCTATGTTAAATGTTACTAAATATATTACTAGTAAAAGTGACATAACGAACGAAAAACACGAACTCTGAGATAACCTCAATTTAATATGATGCGATGGTTTCAAATTATAAAAGAAAAGTCATGTTAACTGCATATGTATGTATGTATTTATTACAGTTACATACATTTTAACAAACAATATACTATTGGTAAGTACAGGAATAGTTCTATAAAAATAACATCGATAAGTAAACCGATGATTTTCTGCAGCTATAATTAATTATTAATCGATGAAACTGGCAAATGCTCTATAAATGGGACAAAATGATTAATTTACTCTGTTTTTTAGGTTGCTTCTGTAGTTCCCTATTATGGAATTTCAATGTATAAAATATACGTAATCGCACAAATAATGACAAAAGGTAATCAAGGGGGAGATTACTACATGGATGCTATTAAGGCCAGCTGGTTTTTAAGTTGTCTGGGAACTTGAAGCGAAAGTGTATTATCTACTGAAGGCATTTTCTAATTGTTCAATGTAATATGCAAACTGTTCATACGAAACATTAAGATTGCCATAAGATAAAGTTTCAGAATTGTGGGCTTGGAAACGACAATAATGTAGTTCTAGAATTTCTGCCACATGCATTTGTATATTCACAGCATATCTGAGAAGAGTGTTTTAAGCATGCATTCACTGAGTATCCACATATTTATCGTAAGATATTTTGTTCAGCTAAATCAAACTCTTTGTACTCTATCCTATCTATTTTTAGGGCATTATGAGATGGTTGGGAATTATTAATTATGGTGGGGATGTTGTACCTCTCACTTAAATTGGAGATATCTTCATTAGCAGATAAGAATTGTGGTGTGATCAGATGATTAAAAGAGGACTTGCGTTTGTGGTGTATTTATTTTTAATGTTGTCGGTTCAGTAGATAAGGGAAAAGTGAAGAGTGTTGTCTGTGATTTTGAAAATGAAAAGACAGGTCGGTAGAGAGCGGTGAAACGGTTGTGTCGAAAGGGTTCTTAGAAGGTACTCGAAATCTTCGAAGGATAAGAATTATTGGGAAGGGCGAACAAAAGATAGGTTTTACGACATGCAGGTGTACGAAGAGAAAGTTTCAGGATGATAGTGGTTGGAAGTCAATAAATACAGACTATACAAATATTACATGTTGCACAATTTTGTGGGATTTGTTAGCCCCCACAAAATGTTGCTAAATCAAAAGCATATATTTTATACAGAACAATAGCTTGTATTTGGTTATATTCTAATAAAGTGTGATGTAAATAACTATTAATAATATGAGGATAAAAATAATTTTATTAACACCCGCACAGAACTAAAAGTGACTAAAGTCATCTTCGCAATGAAAAGGTAACATTCAATATTATAACTGTATTTGTACCCCTTAAAGTGTCGTCCTTGAATTTCAACGTTAGGTTGTAATAACAATCTTTGAATGAGCTAGAGGGTACTTTTATTATTATCCTCGCTATAAAATTGTACAGTTTGTGTTGTGTATGCACATTTTAGAGTTTTAAAGGATAAGAAAAGTTAATACAAGCATTTTGAGTAATTTAATGTTTTTTTTTATCCATTTACTATTAATCAGGATGTAAACATTACAAAAGCACCAACAAATGTTAGATATAATACAATCATTTTTCGAATAAACTTAATGATTGTAATTTTTTTTATCTTGTCTTTTTCCATTTATGAGCAACCTAGTATTTTTGGAAGAAAGATTAACCACTTTTGGTATATTCTTACGATTGGAAATATCCCTGGTAATCAAATAGCCGCGCTACGAAAGTTTCACTCAAATTTAAATAGCGCGCCCGAAAGTGACGGTTTGGGGCACAGTACATAAGGACTATTGTCGCTTAATTTTGCGAGCTGTCATATCTCTATTATCTCTGGTTTAATGTAATTTTTAATTGATAATTCGCCGATCTCACTTGTCGCGACGACGGCCGGCGTCGGGCAATTCTGCAATTTCGGCAGATTGCGTCATCATGGATTGCGTCATTGTTGTTTAGACTGGCGTTGGCTGCAGTGTTGCCAGATGTGGCTATTTATAGCCAAATTGGCTACTTTTTAAAGTAAATGGCGCCTAAAAATTTTTATTTGGCTACTGGCTACTAATTTGGCTACTTAAAAATTTTCATTTGGCTACTCTGGCTACTAATTTGGCTACTTACAAAATTTTCTTTTGGTTACTTTATTTATGAAATTTCGAATTATAATTTTTTGATTGCAGTACTTGAATTAAATAAACAAACCAAAAAAATATGTGTAAAGCACATGGAGGTTAAAGTTATATTGCATCTTTTTTATTGTAACAAATCTACATCACCTCTAGTTACTCCTCGATGCCCATATGTTTTCTGAACGTATGGCGTAGAGATCGTCGTAACAATAATTTGAAGATAGATCGATAGATCAAATAGTGACAGACTAGGGCAATAATAATAGAAGTGGCAGAACGAGTTTGACACTGACAGATGCACATTGTACGATGTCAGCTACGCCATATGTTCAAAAAAACATTTGTGCATCAAGTAGTAATTAGACGTGTTTTATTTTTGATCGCACGTTAATACCGTGCAAACTTGTTGCGAAAAAAAGTTGGCGACTTTTGGCTACTTTTTGAGAGAATGTTGGCGCCAATGACAAATCGAAGTCTGGCAACACTGGTTGGCTGTGCAGCTGGCTGGTTTTCCCGGATCGCGCTCGGACTTGTTAAGAGCGATAAAATTGTTATTAAATTTCACGGAGTCGCTGAGAATTATACATTTTATTTTCTTGCATGGCGATAAAAAAAAACATGTTTGAATGTTTAAATGCAACATTTTATAATATTTTAAATTGTGAAATATTTCAGGGAATGGAGGGTTCTTCTTAAATTATTATTTCAATTTAAATAGATTCCCGTCTGGAATTTTAACATGGTTTTTGGCAGTACTCAAGATGTAAAATTTTAAAGATTAAGTCGCTTTGGAAATAATCAGCGAAATAAATGTCGTCGTGGATTCGAAAGGGCAAATGGGATTTTATGCTGATTTTGTGTTATGTTTTATGTGTTTTATGATTCCAAATTTGGAACATTTATTACCAAAAGTACCTCTCAGAGCGATGTACAAACAAACCAAATGATATTTTATGTTTTGACAATATTGAACATGTGTTTATGTATTTATGTGCAGGGTTGGGCAAAATACACTTTCTACTGTAATTGAAATACAAAATACAAAATACTTCAATTTAATGTATTTGAAATACAAATTACAAAATACATTTATGTCTTGTAGTTGAAATACAAAATACAAAATAGTATTTCAAATACTTTTAAAAATACAAAATATATTTTGTTCAGGACAGTGGCAAAAATAAAATTTTGATAGAAGTTCGTTCCTAAAAATTTTAAAGTTAACTGTCAGAATTCTTTCACTAACTTTATAAGTTGGCCCTGTTACATTCCATGTCCATCTAGTGTCAATTTGTCGAAAGTAAAACACGTCGTTAAAAATATTGTGACATTTCTTCTAGTTAATTTTATTCCTAGTTAGAACCAAACACTGCTGCCAACATAAATTGCGAAGTCCTCAACCGTCACTTAATTTCATATATCTAATAGTACTATATTGCTAACTGGCCTCAAAAGATTCCGAAAACATAACGGTAGAGCAATATATCGGACCTCTCTGTCTTTCTGTGGTACTAAACAGTACTGCGCATGCACTCGTACTTGGTTGATTTGTAGTGGATAGCGTGACTGGATGCGTTTTGACATTTCGTACTTTCGCTTCTATTTTGTGTACATGCGCACAGACCCTCGGTACTCTTAGAGACAGAAAACAACATCTTCTGTCTCTCTCTGTCCGTGAACACCGTTTCTATGTTATTTCTGAAGAGCTAGCAATATAGTACTATTAGATATATGCTTAATTTAAACTATGGCGCTTCTCTATGTTCTCTGTTACAACCATAGAATATCCTGTTACTTCTCGAAGTATACGAACATACACGAATTAACACGATCGCAAAACTGTTGTAATGAGCGCGCCGTAGTTTGATAAAATGTATTTCAAGTAATTGAAAATACAAAAATACAAGTTAAAATGTATTTGAAATACAAAATACAAAATACATTTGTGTCATGTATTTGAAATACAAATTACAAAATACAATTGTATTTCAAATACTGTATTTCAATTACAAGTAGTTCAAATAGTGCCCAACCCTGTTTATGTGTTGGGGAATTCGATTCACGATGTACTCTTGTTTCATTAATTTTGTTCAATTGAATTCGGTTGGCTACTTCGGCCCATGTCAAGACTGACTAATTTCTCCTGTCATTCATATGACTGTTTATTCGCAATACCGAATGCCGCCAACACGGGATATGCGGAGGGTGTCTTGCTGGTAAAGGAAACTTTAGTGGTGGGAGCCAGTGTCGTGTGTCCCGCGGTGGATGGAGTAAAGTTACGGGATAATACTTGCAGCCGCTGCCTCAGACGCCGGCGAACACAGCATAGAGATAGTGTGACGTTTGGGGTGGCACAGTGGCTTGGTTGTACGTAGCTGTGGTAGTGCAAAGAAATAGTTCGATGACAGTTAAATCGTTTAAATAATCAAAATCTGCCAACATAATAATTTGGGTATTGCTTTCCATTTCCCTTAGATATGAATTTGCAAACTAGAACATTGTATACTTTTAAGAACAAGCTTTGTTTAATCTGATCGAAATTTAAAATTGTTATGCCTGAAAGAACCAAGTTTTTGTAATTGAAATATTGACAAACAAAAAACAAACAACAAAAGGAAAGAACTTAATAAAATAATTCCCATCATATTTTTGTGTTGTTAATTTCAAGGTCACTCTTCCACCTTTGCGGTTCACCACTTGCATCAGAACGCATTCCGCCATTTAAACACAACGTAGGGTCCCCATTTTGTTGACGATCACAGTTCATGGCCACTTTTCGAATTTTTCGCGGGTTTTCAAATTTTATGCGCATGTCTCCAATTTTGGCGGAATGTTTGGGTTATTACAATATATACGTAAGTTTTACATTATAACAGTTCTTAATTCTTCACACAAGATTGCTAGTAGTTTATTTACGGCAGTTAAATTAACTAAATTCATACCGCGAACTGACGGGGTGTTAAAATAATTTCTTCCCTTCGGGGGTTATCATCGTTATTATCATCGTTATCATGACTACATCATCGGGGCATGCCCTCACAACGCTAAAGATTGATTACTTCATCGCGGCATGTCCTCGCAACGATATAGATTGACTACATCAACGGGGCATGCCCTCACAACGCTACAGATTGCTTACTTCATCGAGGCATGTCCTCGCAACGCTAGAGATTAATAACACCATCGAGGTATTCCCTCGCAACGATAAAAATTACATTACCGAGACGCTTTTTCCTCGCAATGATGATTGGATATTTTTGTGTTTATTTTATTATGTGTTTTGTTGGGCTAACCAGTTCGCGGTATTCTAAACTAACATATTGTAAACTCTTTGCCTGAATCATTGATAAAGTGTGGCAAGTATTAATCTCATGTAAATTTTGTTAACTTTGCAATTTTTCAATATTTCTCTATCTCACAATTTTAACTTCAGTAATTTTCTTTGTTGTATAATTTTAATTGAACGTAAATTTCATGCTCTACAGTTTTAACCTCACATAAATAATATTTTAATTTGCACGAGTTTGTTTCACACCAGATCTTTTGTTTTTCATAAATCTATACTAGTTTTGTTTTGCAAATATTTTGTTGATGAATGTTTCGATCGTATAAATTATTTGATGTCCAATTTCAATCTCACATAAGAATTATTTGTTGTTTAAAATTTCACAAGATTGTATGGCGAATTTAAATATTGTTTACTGCTCTTAATACTCTCTCAGTTGTTGTTAATATCAGAGTCATAAGAAATTGAACATTTAAAATGGAGTTGAGGTTAAATAATACAGAAAACGTGGCAGAAGCGAAGTGCGGTTCCTAGTCGAGCTGGCGAGATCTATCGCGTGACCTGCACAAAGAGTACAGGTTTGGATAGATTCAGGGCCGGCCGCCGATGTTGTAACGCTCTCGGCTTCTGTCCTTAGCCGAGATCCAACTACGGGTCTGCGACCATAACGGCCTATTTTCGGATGGCATGTTCGTCATGGAGATGTGTAATGTGCTGTGCGGGTAGGCTGGCGATAGATAGAATCACCGTCGTGGGGGGAGAACAGCCTCGACCGGTAGCCCCAAACTCCGCTTGTGCTAAAACTCCCCGGGGGTATTTTTATTGTGCTTCTGCTAACTGCCGAAATTTTAAATCTGCCGCCACACGCCCGTAATAACTTGTGTATTTGCATCCAGTTACTTTAATTCAGATTTTGCTTTGTTTCTATTAAATTTGTGATATTTAAATACTTGCTTGGTTTTTATATGTGTATGTCTGTCAATTCGCTAGTGTCTTTTCTTTCATATTTTTAAGGTGTTTTATTTGAAATGTAATATGTTGGTGAATATACGATAGGGGGTTTTGGGGCAGAGGAGTGAATGCGAGATGGCAAGTCCGTGTCCCCTTCGCTCGGAGTTTCTTTCCTCCTAGAGAGGGGGCGCAATTTTTTTGCCCCCCTCTAAAAATTTTGTCTATTATTTCTTGCGTTCTCTACTCGCACGCAGTGTATGCTCACTTGTATGAAAGAACGTCTTCCCGCCATTTAAAAAAAACACAACGTAGGTTTCCATTTTGTTAGACGATCACAGCCAAGGAAAAATATTTAATTTTTTAATTTTTCGCGGGTCTTTCAAACTTTCTCAAAGTCAATGTAAAGGCGGGAAGTTTGGGTTACCGCAACCCTTTTTAAAAATAGGACGCACAATTGTAGTTCTCCAATCATCTGGTAAGCTAAGGTGGTCTGGTAAGATTGCTGCATTAGAATGCTAATGCGAACACTGAGTGCTTCAGCACAATTTCTCAAAATATTGGACATCCTTAGTTTTTTCAACGTTTCACAAACCACACTTTTGGGAAAGTCAATGTTACAAAGAGAAAAAGTAGGACTGGAACCCGTAATCACAACAATTGAGAACGAATATGTTTGTGAAACTGCTTTAAGTCCGCAATCCGTGTTTCAAACGCAGTCCTTGCTACCCTAATGGTAGACGTAAGTTGGTTCGAAAACCGTTCTGTGAGCTGCATAAATTAGTCTGAGAACCAGATCTTTTAAAAGTGCGCCACAGAACCCGCTTCTTCTTGATTAACTTTAAAATGTTCAACCAATCTAAGGTTTTTTTGCTGATCTTTTAACGGTTAGGATGTTCCTGTGCTCCTCAACTTTATCATGAAGAATACCTTTAAACGCGTTCCAGTTGTCACTGACAATATAGATTCCCAATCAAGCTCCTTTAGAATGTGACCTAAGGCTTTAAAATCTGTATATTGATACCAGGCAGGGGCCCTCCGAGCCTTGCATACCCGAACTTCCAAACCGTTCAGTCTGGGGTCCATTTGCTTGTAGTCAAATATCAGCAAATTGCCGCAGACAAACCACTCTGAGTCAAACCACCGAAGGGAGCTGTCACCATCAAAAACACAACATTCTCTTCATCACCCCGTCATCAACACTTCCTCCACCAGAAGCTTTCCGGAGGCGACCCCGCCTCCTCCGCACCTCGTCCCAGCCTTTTGGGGGTGACAATACGTCTTCCTAATTGAGACGGTCCTCAGATAAGGTTTAAAGCTAATTTGTAGGTCAATCTTTAAAGTAACGTGATCTGACTTGGATTTAAGTAATCCAAGTTGACCAGTGAGTTGTCGTCGGAAGAGATTAGTAAGTTAAGTAGAGAAGGAGTTTGATTGAGATGGCTATTAATCAGCAGTTCGACTAAGAGTTGGGAGGATGCTTTATAGGACTGACCAGTGTCTAGAAGCCATCAAATATCAGACATGTTAAAATCGCCAAAAATAAAAGATTTCTTATAGGTCGAAACATTCATGATGAAATCAACTAAAATTGTATCAATTGAAGACGAAGGAGACTTACATACATAGCCCAAAACAAAAGTAACATACCTATTAGACAACTTGGGGAACAAGGCTTCAATACCACATTTATCGAACGATAGTGGAGTGACGTGAAAATTGGACAAGGCATAATTTGAAAAATACATACAAACCCAACCTCCTTTCAGATCATTTCGGAACAGTGAATAATTTTCCGGAGAACCCAATTCGTCTGGTAATGCAGGAGTCAACCAAGTTTCTGTTAACAATGTAATAGAGGACTTATACAGTTCCACAAAACCGCAAAAATCATCATATTGTGGTGACCGAATTTGAATCAAATTTTCGCGCTGAAATTAATTAACAGCGGCGCGAAATCACATTTGAATAATCTGAATTTGAAAAAAAAAATGCAATAAAAAAAATGGTTAAACATAGGCAACCATGTGCACGTTAGAACTTGGGGGTAGTTGGTACCTCACTAAGGGATTTGTAGTTAGAAGGCGGTAGAGTAGACAAGAGCATGGTGAAAGCGTCATAATTGTTTGGTTCGGTGTTGTGTGAGCATGGTGAAAAGGCGCTGTAAGTTAGCTAGGTTAAATTAGTTAGTTTGGTAGTTAATAAAAGGGAGGAAGCCTTTGTTTAACGAAAATTAACCGTAAAGATGGAGCCCAGTTTTCCCCGCTAATTTTCGACCGACGCTAATAAATTTGTAAATTTGTTTGTTTTATTGTTTGTTAATTCACTGATCAGGTTAGGATTTTAATGGTTAACTTAAATTTTAAAACAATTTGACAGACATTAGATTTGCTTAGACAGACACTTTACAAGGAGATTTCATGAAATTCACTTAGTCAGGATAACACCCTTTGTTTGTTTAATTACGAATGAGGTTCATGGATGCATATACTTAAGTGTTACATTATAACACTTCTTAATTCTTCACACAAGATTGCTAATAATTCATTTTTATGCATATTTACTTTGACTTACAATGTCACTTTTAATTATATCATACTTGCTATGCTTACGCATCGTAAACCTCGGAAGCACGTATCACCCGTATATCACACGTATATTTACGGCAGTTAAATTTACAAAATTCATTATATCGTGAACTCACGGGGGGGATTAAATTTTTTTTCCCTTAGGGAGTTATTATAGTTATTATCATCATTACATCACCGAGATATTTCCTCGCAACGATGACTGGATATTTTGCGTTTATTTATCATGTGTTTTGTTAGGGGTAAGCAGTTCGCGAAATTATAAACTCTCAAAACTAATTCTTTTAAGTAACCAATCACTTGGATCAAGACATAATTTAACGTAATGTAAACTCTTTGTTGAATCGTTGACAAACTGTGGCAAGGTGGCAAGTATTAATTTCATGTAAATTTGTTAGCTTTGCAATTTTTCACCTCATACAATATTTCTCTATCTCACAATTTTAACTTCAGTAATTTTCTTGGTTGTTTAATTTAAAGTGAACGTAAAATTTCCTGCTCTACAGTTTTAACCTCACGTAATATTTTATCTGCACTGCAGTTTATTTCACACCTGATCTCTTGTTTTTACAAATCTTTGCTAGTTTTTGTTTTGTAAATATTTTGTTGATGAATGTTTCCATCATATAACTTATCTGATGTCCACTTGTAATCTCACGTAAGAATTATTTGTTGTTTAAAATTTCATAAGATTATATGGCGAATTTAAATGTTGTTTATTGCTCTTTTTGAAACTTTAATACTGGTTCAGTTGTCGTTAATATCAGAGTCATAGAAAGTGAACATTTAAAATGGAATTGAGGTAAATAACACCGAAATACGTGGCAGAAGCGGAGTGCACGGTTCCTAGTCGAACTGGCGAGATTTATTGCGCCATCTGCACAAAAGATGCAGGTTAGAATAGAATTCAGGGACGGTCGAGATGACATAACGCTGTCGATTTGGTCCAATAGTCGAGACCCAACTGCGAGTTTGCGACCGTAACGGCCTGCCGTACGGCCTCTCCGTAATAGAGATGCTTTGCGGTAGGCGTGCGATAGATAGAATCACCATCGCAGGGGAGAACAGCCACGACCGGTAGCCCCAAACTCCGCTTGTGCTAGAACGCCCTGGGTATTTTTGTTGTGTTCTTATTGACTGCCATAATTTTTAATTTGCCGCCACACGTCTGTACTTTAAATCAGATTTTTATTTGTTTTTATTAAATGTGTGACATTCAAATATTTGCATTGGTTCAGAACGTTTAACGTTTAACGAGTCAGCCTCGCACGCAGTTTTTTTTCTTTTTTTTTTGTCAGTGGATGAATAAATAATTTTGTGTCCTCTCGTTTCTGTTTTATTTAGCGGTACTTTTCCATTTTGTTAGACGATCACAGCCAAGGCCAGATTTCGAATTTTTAAATTTTTCGCGGGCTTTCAATTTGTTTTCACATTTTAAGGCGGGATGTTTCGATTATCACAACTTATTTGCAATACCAGACTTTCAACCCTCGTGAATCCGGCCGTCTCGTTGGCATCGTCCTTTGCGGTGTTGGAAGGGGAGTGTTTAAATTAGTTTTTTCCGTACCTTGTTGTCGGTAGTAGTCGATATCTCGACGCAGAATGACCTAGACTTGTTTTAGAAACTTGGTAAACAAAATCCGAATTAATAATTTAAATCAATATAATAATTACATATAAAATATAACAGTACAATATACAATTCAATGCAAATAGTGCTTAAATGTAAATAGTTTATATCGTAAAACGTGACATATTCACTTTCACTTGAAGCTTACACACAGAGCAAGCAAGCACCAAGCACATCATATGAAAATACTCTTTTGATTTAACAAAAAATCAAATAAAATACATCGTTTACAGCTAAAAGGCAAGTATTTTGGACTATTCTATTTAAATTATTCAACTCGAATGCGAAAAGAAACTATACAATAGCAAAAGCTAGTAAACTCGTTAGAATTTTTGATTTTGAACGGCAACATCTGAATTAGATTATGTACAGTCTCTAAAACACAGACAGACATTGCTTAAGTTGGAAGGATACAAAAAACGTGATATAAAAAATAAATGATCAAGATTTACCCATATTGATACAGCTTGCTTTTAACAGTTTTGCTTGAATGTAACCGGCAGGCTACAGCAGAAATGCCACATAAAAAGGTTCACAATTATAACTAAAGATTCGACTTCGCTATCAAGCTTTAGATAACAAAGTGACATTTCCCACGACTCCTCACGATAGCTACGTTCACAAGACTCGCATATTTTCAAACAATTCAATATTTTATCCACAACCGTTAAACCTAATTTACACAGATTTAGAATAGACGTGTGAAAACCTACTCTACGGAACTGGAGTGGTTATGAATAAAATGACATTTATTTAAAATTCAGGTGCACTTATTCGTCCTAAGTACATACCCATATTGACTAGAATTTAAGTGTTAACACGTATGTGATATCCGAAGGGAATTGTTCAACAATTATTGTACTTGATCATTTTACTGCAGTGTTCGCTACTACGTATTTACACCTCAAAAATATATACACTATCTTTAGTCAAACTGCAAAATAAGGAATGTTGGTGGTTTTCTTAACTTAGAGAGCTAACTTTACAGATTCACTATGAAAAAAGCCTCAGTCGGATCTTTGGATTATTGTGTCTACAGTATTTACACATACTGAAAATTCTCTTTGTTTTTCAGAAGTGGCTGATGTTCGATATTTTTGTCTAAATCGTAACTCGTCAGCCAATCTTTATTTTCCGGCTTGAAAAGACCGAAACAGGTGCAGTCGAAGAATTCAAGCAGGTTTTTGATGGGGCCTTTGGAAAAGGGGCTTTTGCCGCCGTTGCTGAGAATGTATGTGTAGCGACCTCGGTTCATTCGTTCGTTTGTAGTCATTCCGAGACATGAGATCTGAAAGTAATTGACGATAGTGTCGTCTAATTTTTTTTTTTTTTTAATAATACTAACCTGATACAATTGACATATAAGAAGCATGAAGACCCACACACAATGGAAAAGAGTATTGGCAGCCACCCAAGCTACCCATGTATCACATTGTCCAATCGACATAACGAATTTCCAGTAGCCCTCTGATGTTGTGACGTTGCAAGTGCTTTGGTTTTGCCAGAATTTGATGGAACCATACAACATTTGACAGCACATCATGACTAAACTGCCCAGGAAGCCGATGAAGTATTTGTGATTTTTAGCACCTGGAAGAAGACAATCCGTTTGCAGAGATTCTTCAAATGCTCGTAACATCTAAACTATAGAAAACATGGAATCACAATTTATGTATCAAGGAGAACTATATAACAATTTTTAGATAACTAAAAACAATGACACTTAGAAAATGGTTCTGCGGTAAGTGGAATTTTGTTAGGAGCAGGTCTAGGACACAAGAATAAAGGTGAATATCACACTGAAATAATAAATCAATAAAATCTGTGATACAGAAAAAATCCCAACAATTTAAGTCAAACTTAAATAATTAATTAAGCGCCCTACATCAGAAATGCCGACTTATTAATTTATTTTCCATGTCTTGAGGCCTATAAAATTGAACGTCATTAGGAAACGCTAATATACATTTCATTTTTTTTACAAAAAACTATAAACAATTAGTAAACAATGGTCCCATCAAAACATGAAGAATGTTTTTTAGAATGTCTCTGTGAAAATTACGTTTAACTGAAATAATTCCACCGAATATCAGCCTTAAATCATCAAAACCAATGTAGCTAAACTGCGAAATTTCAAATATTTCACATTAAAGTCACTAGATAACCAAAGTACCGAAATTCAATGTTTCAATGTGTAAGAAACAGAAGTACCTTGAGTTGCGCGTCCTCATACGGTCACAAGACAAACGACCACCCATGAAAACGGGTCAGTAAAAATAGCGAGTTGTCCCTACTGAATGATCTTTGTACTGTGATGGAGTGGAAAACGTTTTTACCTTGGTCCGGGACAGTCATAACAGAGGGTGTATGGAGAGCGTCTTACACATAAATATGTACACAGCGTCCATAACAAAACAACTGACAACAAACCATAACAAAAACTGTAATCAACCAGGCACACCATTGATTTTCCACTATCTGAGTATGGGTGAATTCCCCGTTTTGGCCGGAGGGCTGTTTAAGGCTTGGGTCTGATCTGGTTTCGTCCTATCCCTACCCGAATCCGTCATTTTTAAATCTGCTATTATTCTCATCGCTCTTTTTTGCATAACAAACACTTGAAAATGAAACCGTACCATAGGATAGAAAAGAAATGATAGTAATAATAACTTAAGAGAATTTCGAGGTTGACTACCTTTTTCAGTTCCCTAAGCATGTAAGACACAGTACTAAGTTTTTTTGGTTATACTCTCTCATGATAGTTCCATGTTAAATTTTCGTCGATGTCGACCTCTAGAAAATTTAAGTGTGACTCTAGATTTAGCCTGGTGCTGTCAAGTACTATATTTTTTACATAATTGCTATTGTTATTGATGTGGTGGAACAGCATTATGTGTGTTTTAGTTATTTAGTTATTTTCATTAAATTTTAGACCATTTGTGTGAAACCAAGATTGAAATTCTGGAAGTATGAAATTTGGTTTTACGGATACATCTTAGACCGATCTTACCGTTTGGAGCGCCGAAAGCCGGCGAATAAGAGATGACGCACTAACATTTGGCCGTCAAACGCCGTCGAATAGCTTGGACGCTCATAGACAACCCTCATAACAGCAACAAATCTGTTCTTAAATCTACCATTCGATAGAAGGCGACGAAAAAAATTTGTAAGAATCTCGTAGTAAGCATTAAGATAATTTACAACGTTGCCAGATGAGCCTAACACAACTTTGCCGTTATTTCTAGTCAATTAGATTTTATTTCGTTCAGAAGTTTCTGATAATATGATAGTGAGAATTCGCTCGTGTGATGAATGTAGGTTGTGCTAGTTTTTAGTGAAATTAGTGTGGACCTCCGCCGTTACAATAAGTGTATTTGGTACCAATCTGAAGATCCACGTACCCTATTATGGTGGTATGATTTGTATCCATTTCCGATTTGAAACAACGGAGTATTTTCCAATTTAAAACACTGCGTTCACCGAATTCATTCTTATCGTGGGAGTCTTTTTTTTCTTTTTTCTAATAGATAAGCCGAGCAATTAACTTATCGCTCTTAATAATTATTAACCTCTGTGTTTACCTTAATAACCTGTATTTCCGAGGCCATCTTGTGTTGTGCGTTAGTCACCTTGAAAGGCCCCTAGGTGCGAGCTGTATCCCTGTTATTTGTCCTCAAATTTTGCTTATAAGAATCAAAACTAAATAATTCTCGCAATATTAATATGCCTCTGTGTGTAAATTGTAATACAGCTGGTGACCCTAATGCCGGCAGAACGCAGTGTGACGCATGTCAAGGCACCGTACATCTTAAATGTATAGGTATTTCTGAGAGCGAAATAAAAATGACAAGATCCAAATCCAGATCAATAAAAATTGTGTGCAACCAGTGCAACAATAATATGCTAGTATTTACGGATCTTAAAACACTCATCTCATCTCTCCGCAGTGAGATGTCATCTGCCATTGATAATCTTAAAGCTGACATTCAGACTCAGCTCGATGACATCAAAGTCAAGCTTTCGCAAGCGCCTCAACAACAACAGGCTGTACCTACGTTAGAAGAAGTTGCTCAAGAGATTCTGGAACGCCAAAGACGAAGCAAAAATCTCATTATTTTCAATCTTCCTGAAGAACCTGATACTAATACAAGACAAGGTAGTAAAGATAAAGACACCCTTGTTCTTAACAATGTTTTTAACATCACCAATCCAACTAATACTTTCACCGATCTTAATATCGTTAGATTAGGGCGAGTTAATGAATCACGCATTCGTCCCATTAAGGTATCTTTCAAAGATGAATCTGATGTTTTAAGTATAATTCGCGGCGCCAAAAACCTCATACATGATTCGCAGTTTAAGAATATTAGGATTTCGTTTGATAGGACACTAAGGCAACAGGAAGTATATAAACAACTTAAGGCTCAATTAAATGATCGTTTGGCAAAGGGAGAATCTAATTTAAGGATCCGCTATTTTAATGGAACTCCAAAAATCGTCAGTTTAAACTAATCGCGTCACCTAATTACTCCGATCAACTTGTTTGTTTTTATCAAAATGTTCGAGGGTTACGGTCAAAGATTGGTTCATTTTATAATAATATTTGTAGTTGTGATTATGACTTTATTGCTCTTTCTGAAAGCTGGCTTTCCAATGACATTCAAAGCAACGAACTCTTTCCCTCCAATTTTCTTGTGTTCAGAAAAGACAGAAATTTTCAATGTTTAAATGTTTCTAAAGGTGGCGGAGTACTTCTTGCCATTGATAACAAATTTTCATGCTGTCAATTAGACCTCTCGCTTATTACTAATGCCTTACCCTCTATAGACATTGTTGGTGTGAAAATTTCCATCAATTCGAATGATAGTTTGCATATATTTGTTTTATACGTACCTCCCTCTACCACTGTTAGTGATTACCAGGAATTTCTCAACATATTTAGCACTATTGAAGGAACGCTGAGCGACAGAGTAATTATCTTAGGCGATTTTAACACCCCTAATTTTCTCAAGAGCAACGATAGCATCTGCATATCGTTACGTAATTTTAGTCAGTTTCACAACCTTACGCAATGCAGTAATGTCCTTAACAAATTCGGCTGTATCTTAGATTTAGTTTTTTCCAGTTTTGACTGTACGGTGGAGCGATCTGAGAATTCACTCGTTGATGAAGACGATCATCATCCTAGTCTGGATATAAATTTTGATCTCTTAAAAAAGCCATACGTCAATTTTAGCACGAATGTTAATATACAACAGTTTAACTTTAAAAGAGCCAACTATCCGTTACTATACGAGCTACTTTCTTCTCAAGACTGGTCTCCCCTACATAACTTTAAGGATGTCAATGATGCATGTTCTTTTTTTTATAACACTTTGAATGCCATTTTCGATGCTGCTATTCCAAAATTTGCGGCCAACGCTAACACTAGTCACAGATATCCTCCATGGTTCAGTCGTGAGATAATAAATAATTTAAAATTAAAATCTTACTACTTCAAAAAATTTAAAAGTTTTAAATCAAACGATTTTTTCAACAAGTTCAAACATTTTAGATCACTTTGTAAATGTCAAATTAAATCGGCCTATAGGCAATACCTAAATACAGCGCAAAACTCTATATCTGCAGATCCAAAGAAACTTTGGACATTTATTCGTAATAAAAAAGGACACAGTAGAATTCCTGGAGATATGAGTTACAATGATACCGATTTGTCTACTCCATATGAAATCGTCAATGCTTTCAACGACTTTTTTAGCTCCACAAATATCTTGTCCCGTCCCAGTAAGATGCAATCGATATCTACCAGTCTTTCTAGTACTCCAATTTCCCTTACACCTTTAACTGACGATGAAATCTTGTATGCCTTAAGACGATCCAAAGACTCATTCACAGCCGGAATTGATGGTATCCCAAGTTTCATTTTGAAGGATTGTGCTCACGCTTTTGTTAGACCTTTGCTCTTATTATTTAACTTAATTATAAAAAAATCTCAATTCCCAGATATCTGGAAGCAGGCTAGCCTCACTCCTGTCTTTAAAAAAGGTGATCCAAAGTTAGTCCAGAACTATAGACCTATTGCTCTGCTTTGCAACTTTTCCAAAATATTAGAATGCATAATACATAAGCGTATTTATTTTCAAGTCAAAACTTTAGTATCCCCTGAACAACACGGTTTTGTTGAAAAGCGATCTACCGTCACAAATTTAGCCTACTTCAGTCAGTTTGTGTCCGAAGTAATAGATCGTAAAAGCCAAGTGGACGTAATTTATACCGATTTTCAAAAAGCTTTTGACCAAATTGACCACTTCATTCTCTTAAACAAGTTACATCATTTTGGTTTCACTCAGTCCTTGTTGTCACTTCTGGAATCTTATTTATTTAACAGAGTCCAGTTTGTTAAATACCGCAATTTTCACTCTTCAAATTTCTCTCCTACCTCCGGTGTGCCCCAAGGGTCTAATCTAGCTCCGCTTTTGTTCCTTTTATTTATTAATGACATAGTTGACGAAATTCATTGTGAAAAGTTATTATATGCTGATGATATGAAACTCTTCTTTGAAATAAAATCAGTTGGTGACTGTTTAGCT